GTTTAGGGTTTAGGGTTAGAGGTGGGGGATGCCGGGCAGCGAGGGCTTGCAGGGGTTTAGGGGTTTATAGGGGCTTTAGGGCTTTCAGGGTTTAGGGTTTGAGGGCTTTCAGGGCTGGCAGGGGTTTTAGGGCTGGCAGGGATTTTAGGGCTGGCAGGGATTTAGGGTTTAAAAAAGGGGCCTTGGTGATTAGAATAGGGTGTAGGGGTTTCTTTTGCTATAATTATAATAAGGAATTTAGGGCTTCAGGGGTTTAGAGGTTTTAGGGGTTTAGGGGGTTTCAGGGGTTTCAGGGGTTTTGGGGTTTAGGGTTTAGGGGTTTATAGGGTTTAGGGCTTTCAGCTGGGTCTAGAGCTTAGGCGTCTGTACGGAGAGTGTAGGGTAATGAGTGTTTTGCCGGAGTTAAGGCCCAGGAGGGGCCCAGGCGTTGGAGATTGAAGAGAGACATGTGGGGGTTTCCGAAAATAGGGGACCCTAATATAGTACCCTAAATAATAGGATCCTTCATATAAGGACCCCAAAATAAGGTACCCCTAATTTTCGGAAACTCTCATGTAGGAATGAATCCAAGGACCACGTCGACTCCATGGTTGTGTTTTCCTGTGCAGCTCTCTGCTTTGTCTGTCAGTCTGCCACCCTAAGCCCCTAAACCCCTAAACCCTATAAACCCTAAACCCCTAAACCCCTAAACCCTAAACCCCTAAACCCTAAACCCTAAACCGTAGAGTTTGCCGGTGTCTTTTGTTAGTGAGTGTGTCCTAGGTAGTATCAGAGGGAGGCCCTTTAAGGGGGGACCCTTCTTAATGCTACCTATGGCTCTCTGAAAAGGGACCTTATGGAGAGAGGGTCTATATCCCCCTGTGTGAAGAGAACCCAGAGCTGTCAGGGCAAGGCAAGAATCGCCCGAAGCCCTTGACCCCGTTAAATCGGTTAGGCTCGTGTAGACTCTGTTCTAAGCTGCGTTTCAAGTGGGCATTGTGCTTGGCATCGCCATGCTGCTTGTGGCAGTGGCATACCAAGCTGACCATGACCTGCTAACGTCGCTGCATGCTGAAGCTGCAGTACCTGTGTAGGCTAATGCAGAGCTCTGAAAATTTTGCAACCCTAACCCTAAACCCTAAACCCTAAACCCTAAACCTTATCCCCTTATCGTCTTTAGATAACGCTACTCTAGCACGCCCCGACAGTCGCCGGTATAAGCCCTGGAGGCCCCTAGGTTTCAGGGGCTTGGCACCATGCGCTTGGGTAGTTGCCAAAATGATGGTCCCTTTTGGGGTACCCTAAATAATAGGTGCCGTACTATAATAAGGACCCAAAAAGGGACCATAATTTCCCTAAACCCCAAACCCTAAAAAAGGGAGCATAATTTTGACAACCACCCACTTGCATGTGGCAAACCCCAAGCAGGCGCGCCTAGCCTTTCCTGGCATCCGCTTCCTCCACGCGCGCCGTGTCAGCATTGGGTCTAGGGTTTAGGGGTTTAGGGGTTTAGGGGTTTAGGGGTTTAGGGGTTTAGGGGTTTAGGGGTTTAGGGTTTAGGGTTTAGGGTTTAGGGTTTAGGGTTTAGGGCCTTGTCGCTGCCGGAGTCAAATCAAAGGACGTGAGCAGGCTGTGACGAAAGCGCTTGCTAATGACCCAAAGAAAGGAGCATGATGATGAGAGGGACTGACAGGCTGCCTGTAGTCTCCATTGTAGTTCCGTTTTGGGGGATACCTTCTAAAATCCTTACTGTATAATTGGTCAAACCCAAAAAAGGAACTACAATGGAGACTATAGGTATGGGCAGTGTTCCGGCGTTTGATTAGAGATTAGTATCGTAAGCCTGAGCTCGATCGAGCCCTTTGACTGCGACCACCATGTGACGGCTTCGACTGGGCTAGCTCTCTACTTCTACTTCTACTTCTACTTAAAGGATCATGGGACTTAGTAACTAGGGTTATAAATAAGGTAATCATAATTATAACCCCAATTATAAGGGTACTTATAACCTTACTTACTAAGTCCCATGCTCCTCCAAGTACGACAAGTTATCAAGCAAAAGACGACAATTATGATCATCTCAGCGGTCTGTACACAAGCAGACAACCATTTACATAGACATTCTTGTGCATCTCATCTGACCGGTGTGGGGTGCCGCAGGGATAGAGCACGGCAAGCAGCGGCCGTCTCGAGCCTGTGGTCGATAATTGTGGCTCTTATACCAGGCAAACGCTAATTGCTACTTATCATCCCCACTTCTACAGAATCCCTCCGTTTGCGTGGCTTTTGGGCCCTGAACCCTAAACCCTAAACCCTAAACCCTAAACCCTAAGCCGGCGGCCTGCCAAGGAGGGAACTCCTCGCAGCTCTCGGCAGCACGGCGCAGGGATCGGTTCTTGGGTCTCACGGTTTAGGGTTTGGGGTTTAGGGTTTAGGGTCTCTTCGGCTTCGGGCTGTCGTCAATATATGGGTCTGGATAGTGTAGGAACCTGGTTAAGAAACCCTGGCCCCATAACCCCACGGCCCCGCTATATGAGGATTCATATGAAGAAGCCTAGTAAAGACCCAAAGTTTCTTAACGAGGTTCCTACATTATTCAGTAATACTATAGTTCTAGCTGCTGCATGCAGCTGGGTGAGTCCGTCCTTTGCTCCAGACCTGTTTGTCCAACCTGAAGGAAACTGGGCCCCTGGAGTTCTATGTTGCAATTAGACAAGACTGGGGCTTAGGGTTTAGGGTCTAGGGAATTTTGGGGTTTAGGGTTTAGGGTTATACTTTGGTTTACGGCCCCTGACCCAACGTACGCAAAGTTGACCCAAGGCGAGTGGCTAACGCGCGATATCCTAAGCCCAAAACCGTTCTTGTGGAAGTCCGAAGTACCTGCTCTCGGCTATACCTTCTGCTAGATCTACCTACAAGTTCACAGCCTCTTAAAACTACAATTTGTTGTGAATTCCCTTGAATCTATCAGCCCATGACTGAGAAATAATCCCAAACACTTACCTAAACCCTAAACCCTAAACCCTAAACCCTAAACCCTAAACCCTAAACCCTAAACCCAAGCACTTAAAAGCCCTAAGGAGGCCTGGCCCTAAATAAATCCCTAAACCCAACCGGGAGCT